GTGAGATTTTGGCAGCGACCCTTTCTTTTTGATGATGTTGATTTCGTAGGCCAATGACTCGAATTGTGCCCTTCGAATAATTGATTTCTCGGCATCGGCAAGCTCCATGACGTTCAGTTCGCCTTGTCGGCGAACACCAGGCTTGATGTTGTGAAGAAAGCGAAATACCCAAGCCACGACTCTTTTAACCCTCAAAAAAGATGAAAAGTTAGTAAAGCTTATTGGATACTTGCCTGCTTTGGATAGAATTATGACGCGCTTCGCAATTTCTTCAGTACTGCAGTGCTCAGAAGTCAGCTCTGGTATCTCTTGCGGCCACTGCGTTGAGTCTTTTTGTAGAAAATCAGGACCATTAACCCATCTTGACTTTGGGTCGAGCTCAAACGATGTACGGAATCGTGTCGCCTCATCTGCCACGTTTAACGACGTCGGAATCCAGCGCCATTGATTTGCTGATGTAACGCTTAGAATTTCAGCTACACGATACGCGACAAACTGCTTGTAATTTCGACTCGTGGAACGTATCCAAACGATGGCGGTTTTGCTGTGCTCCAAAACGTCGTACTGGTTACACGGAAATCGTGGCAACATTCGAGTGATTCTTTTAAGCGGCAACCCAAAACGGCAGCTTGCAGCTCCAAGCGTGGTATCGTCATACCTTTCAATGGTGCGCATCTTGATTTCGCGCATACTAAAGCGACGTCGACTTTATTTCCTTTCCTTACGCGGAGATACGCGACAGCAGAATAAGCACAAGAGCTAGCGTCAACGAAGATATGCAGCTGTATTTCATCGGCGACAGGCAGGATTGACGAATAACAACGAGGCACCGCAAAATTCTTCACCGATTGGAAATTACTCCACCACGTTAACCATCGTTCAACTAACGGCTGAGGCACAGCTTCATCCCAGTCCACTTGCAGTTTCCACAACGATTGTATTAATATTTTTAAGCATATGGTGACGTTTGCCAACAGGCCAAAGGGATCGTACATCGCCATAGTTATGCCCAGCAATTCTCGTTTTGTTGGAATTCGCGTACCATTGAGTACATCACGGGCGATTTTGTGGAACTGAAAATGAAACTCTAGCGCATCGTTAGCGGTATTCCAGTACATACCCAGAACTTTTTCGGTTGTAGATTGGCGTTCCATCTTGACGACCTCTGAGCTGGCAGCATCATTTTCCCTATTTAGCTTTCGTTGAACATCTTTGTCGTTAGAAATGAAATTACGTAGTCTGAAGCCTGCAGCGGCGTTGATTTTTACAGCTTCATTGGCGACTTCAATGGCTTCCTTGGTGGTATCAAAACTGATGACCAAGTCATCGACATACGTGTTGTTAATTACGGCACGCACTCCCCTCGGCATCGTGGACTTGAACTTGACGGCGTTTGTGTTTTTTATGTGCTCGGCACAACAAGGCGAGCAAATGGCTCCAAATATCATTGACGACATGACGTACGTACGTACGGGTTCCTCGGGGTTACCATCTCTCCAGAGAAATCTTTGTGAGTCTTGATCGGCGTTTCTGATCTTCACTTGCGAGAACATCTCCTGTATGTCTCCGGCTACTGCGATAATTCCCTGGCGAAATTTATGTGTAACGGCTACAAGTGGTTGCGCTTGTTCAGGCCCTTTCAGCAAGACCGAGTTTAGGGATGTGGAATTTGTAACGGCGGCTGCGTCAAAAACGATGCGGATCTTTCCCGGCTTGTGCGGGTTAACGACACCGAAGTGCGGGAGGTACCATGTCGTCGGTTTATTATGTGCGGCCTCTTCGGGTGTTAATTGTCGGGCGTATCCCTTGTTGAGGTATTTCGCGATTTCGTTCTTATAGCTGTTGGCGTAAGCTGTATCTTTCTTCATGCGCGTCTCAATATTTACTAAACGTTGCTTCGCAGCTGCATAGCTGCATGGGAGGTCAACCGAGTCATCCCGCCATAATAAGCCAACCTCATATCTCTGGCCGAGATCTTTTGTTGTGTCTGCGAGTAATTTCTTTGCGCGCTGATTATCGACTGTGTCCAAGGCGATCTTACTTTTGACCCCAAAATTTTCAATCGAAAAATACTCCTCAACTAACTTGTTAAGATGCAGCAATGAGTCTGACTTACGTACATGAAAAACTTTAGGATTGGTGCGGGCGTCCTGGCGATGTGGTCCAAATACCACCCATCCCAACTTTGTATAAGTAGCTACTGGTTGATCGCAACCAACCTCGACTGTCTTACTGGGCACACACAAATGGCAGTTGTCTAATCCGAGTAGTATCACGGGTACTACATCGTCATAACTACGCACTGGCAATTCGTTTAAATGCGCATAGTTGTATTTGTTAAGTGATTGTCTCGGCAAACATAGACCCTTTATTGTACGCAGATTTTTGAGTGGGAAACTATGGCCACTGCCTACCCCTTGAATTTCGCATGAGACTTTTCTCGAGCTCTCAGTAGTTTGGTTGTCACCGTACCACTGTAAAGTAAGTGGCATGGTACGACCTCGTAACCCTAATTGTACGGCAACCTCTTCCTCAAGAAGTGACACTGATGAACCTTCATCGATCATGGCGTACACTGACATACTACCATGCGGACCGAATAAAAGTACAGGTAGTATTTTAAATAGGCTTGCTTCTTTGGCTTGGTGGCAGTTCAGGATACGTTCTCCATCGGTGGGCGGCACAACGTTTGTACGAAGTTCTTGATACAGTGATTTATGATGCATTCGCCTACAGCCATTGATATCACACGTTTTACGACGGCGACATGTAGACAAACCATGACCCTTTTGTAGGCAACCGAAACACAGACGATGTTGTTTGACAAGTGACCATTTTGCAGCACAGTCAAGCGATTCAAACTTGCAACAATTAGTTACGAGGTGCGACTGACTGCAGCAAAAACATACGGGCTGCTCTTCACTGCTGTGAAACATTCGCCGTGCTGAACCTGCGCCTGATGTTAACTGACGACTGTAGTTTGTGCTGTGTTTCGTCGACGATGGCGGTTGGCTATGACGTAGCGAAATGTCTGCAACTCCGGGCATGATCGACACGACTTTGGCCAAATCACTCAGCCAGTCTGCGAAGCTCTCCACTGTTGGAAACGGCAATATGTTGGCGGCATACTTGCTCCACTCAAACTGTTTGGACGGTGGCAGTTTTGATATTAATTGTTCCAGTAGAGTGGGGTTCAACAAATGGTGCTCGCATTTGGCAGACTTAAAGAACGCTGCCATGTTACGAACACGATTTGAGAACTCCAAGACTTGGTCCAAACGATTATCATGGATGCTAGGGAACTGCTGGACTTTCTGCAATTGTGCTCGTATTAACAAGTATTGTCGTCCAAAATTAAATTCCAGTTCCTTCATGACTTTAGGAACATCATCTGGATAGATGAGCATCGACGTGACTGCTCGCTTAGCATTACCCTGCAACGCTTTCTGCAGGCGCATAAGATTTTGCCTGTTGTTATACGAAAACTCAGCTGTTGTGTCGATATAGTTGGCGTAAAATAGAGGCCAATCCTCTGGATTGCCATCGAAGGCAGGCAGCGGAAACAGCTTAGCGGCGGATCCTTCCAGAAACGACAGCGCGTTTGATGGCTGTGATGAAGACGGTTGTGATCCAGGCGGAGGCAACTGTGGTAACGTATGTGGTAAACGTGTGTCTGGAATTGGTACGTCCGGCGATGGACCGTGATTGGCGTCATTAGCAGAGTCCATTTCAATACGCTGACGGAGCTGTTGGACCTCTGCCTGACCACGGCTCGTTTCGTTTCGCAACTCTTGCACGCTTTCCCTGAGTGCCGTGATACTTGCCACCAAAGAGGCTATTGCGTCGCTCCCGATGGTTGCTTCTGGTTGCATTGTGATGTTCTGGGCTTCGATGTTAACTGCCGTGACACTTGCTTCTGAGTCGGAACTACTATCATCCGCGTCGCTCGATAGTGTGGCAGAGTAATCATTACACTATAAGAGTTTAATTAATTTGTTGTTACCCACCTTACAGCGACTCGCTTTAGTGCAGAAATTTCTTAAATCAGTAGACGATGACAACGGCGAATTTAGGCAAGTGTACTCGCTTTGAAGGCTTAAGTGTTTCGCCAAGAAATTGGCTAAGATTGACAAATTCTTTGAGTTCGATGCTAATTTGTATGAGTATGCAATGTACGCGTGCAAAACTCGACTCCGTGACGTGTATGTTTCGCAAAAAAAAAAAAAACTGGAACCTGGCTCGACGACCCCGCCAAAGTATGTGAATATCCATACGGCGACTTCTAAATTAGCAAATGGTGTAAAACGTTTCCGCAAATATGCTCGCTTTGACGGCTTATGTTTTTGGCAAAAGGAAAAACCACACTATGAGTGTTCATATACGCATGCCCAACTCGGCTCGTCGATTTCACAAAAGTACGTAATGCCCTTACGCCGACATTTATAGAATTGGCAGATGGTGAACAATGTTCGCGAAAATATACTCCCTTTCGCGGCTTATGTTTGCAAAGGGAGACTATGAGCATGCATATACGCAAGCACAACTCAGCTCGATGATTTCACCCGCATATCCAATGTCCTTGCGGTGACTTTGAGAAATTTTACCCTTGGTGAAAAAACATTTGCGGAAAACGGTAGATAATCGTCCGATATATGTACAGTTTTTCCCTGATGATCTATGTTAACGGCGAGTGTAACCGGTATAGCTCCAAAAAATGGTGTAGCGGCAACAAAAACGGCAAACTTCCAGCAAATATACGGCAAATCCTCACAAAAACAGCGGCACACACACACACTGTGACTAGTTGACGCTCGAACCAAGAACAATTTTGAAAACTTTGTTGTCGACGACTAAATACATTTACACTGTATTTAAAATGTGAAGTTTATTGTTTATTGCGATTTCCAATCTTATAAAAACGTAGGGTGTATAATTGATCGGTTTAAATATAAGACGATGACAAAATTGCTGCTTGCTTGCTTGTTGGCGTTTGTTGGTTCGTTTTGTGTGTGTGTTTCAAAATTGGTGTTCTTGTTCGAGCGTCTTCTTCGGCTTTTAGATTGGAAATGCGATGAGTATGAGAAATTGCGGGATATTTGAACGTATGAAGTGGAAAATGTACATAACGAGAATATGGTAAGAATACAAGAATACAAAGAAGTAAAAAACATGATGACAGGGTTGCCGTAAACTTTGCTGACTATTAGGCTGGGCTAGTGTTGTAAATCGACATCCCACTCCCCGGTGAATTCTCTGGAGGATTCACTTACTGTTAAAGCGGCTAGCTTACTTGCAGGTCGACGTAGCAGGCCGGAACCCGTTTGAACTTCGGCACTCCTGACCTGTCCATCTTTAGCGGCAAAAACTTCGGTCACCCTTCCTCGTTCCCATTGGCTTCTTGGCCGAGTAGGATCGCATACAATCACCAGTTGTCCCGGCTTTAGCGGCTCTGCCTCATCCCTCCATTTTGAGCGTCGCAGGAGTTGGGGCAGGTACTCGATAGTCCACCTCTTCCACAGCCTATTATTCAGATTTTGGGCTATGCGCCATTGCTTGCGAAGACATACTCTTTCCTCGACTGAGCTAGGCATTTGTGTAGAGTTGAGGCACCCCAACAGGAAGTGGTTGGGTGTTAATGGCTCCTCATCTTGGGACGTTAAGGCTAGTTCTGTCAGTGGACGACTATTTAGAATATTTTCTGCCTCGATGAGTACGCTTTGAAATGTCTCCAACCGCGGTGCTTCTTCTTTTAACACGCGTTGTAGCAATCGCTTGACGCACTGTATGAGGCGCTCCCAACAGCCTCCTGCTGAAGGATTTGCAGGGCAGTTGAAAATCCATTGAATGTTACGGCGTGTCATTTCACCTTCGATACGGCTGAAGTCGAATATTTGCGTCTCGTT